GCCAAAGTTGTGCAATGACCTTCTTTCTAAGCATGGCCCTTAAATAGGGAACACAACGATTTTCATTTTCTAAACATTTCTTTCCACTTTCCCTTCCTTTTTTGTTTTCTTTTAGGTGGTCTAAGGAGATGTCATCAATCTGCAATACTAATTTCCTTTTTAAATTCCCACAAACTTGAGATGTTTCAGTCCAGGGGGATACTTAGTCAAATGAAAAGGTCTTTGTGTTAAAGTCAGAGTTTAGGTAGATGTGTAAATACTTACACACATGCACATACATATGTGTTTATTGCATAAATACAACTCTTCTCTGCTTTAGAAACAGAAATGCTCAGTGATTATGGGCAACCTGTTGCCCTGCTTGCTTTGCACAGGGAGCCAGGCTCCCTCATCCCTGTGGGCTTGTGTAATTTGTCAGGTACTTACCAGACTCAGGTGGTAAATAATCTCTTTAGAACCAAGGACTGAGTGTAATTTACGGTTGTGTTCACTGCAGAGGCTGAGGGTATTAGTGACTGGGTTTCGGGGATGTTTCTCTTCTAGATCCCATTCCTGCAGGGCCCTGTGGTTATGCTTCACGGGGGCCACTAGGTCAGGACTCTAGACATTGCCATTTCTTTCCGGCATTTGTAACTGGTTGTTAGTGCTTCTCAGGCTGTGCCAATACACCCGGCAGGAATCCAGGTTCTTTGCTGGGGGCTGTAGGAGATTCTCATAAGAAGATAATGATATCTACCCAGCACCACCCCATTCACGAGGCTGATATCAGCTCTAGTCACCCTTTGCCTCTGGAATGACAGTGTCCTCAATCCAGCCTCTCCGGGAATCCCCACAAGAGGGCAGGCTCACCCCATCCTGGGGTCCTTAGAATTCTCCCCAGGTGGAGGGACTTGTGTTTTTGTTGCCAAATAATCATCAGGGTCCTCCAGTTCTCCCCACCCCGGGAAGGTTTGTGTGAAGGACCCTTGTTCTCTGTGGTGACTGGCTCCTCTCCTGAGCCAGCACCCAGGTGTCAGTGGTGTCCCAAACCGTCAGTGCTGACAGCAAAAGTTTATTTTGTCTAAGTAGATGGTGGAATTAGGTATCCATTTACAATCATTGATCTTCAGGAGGCCAATAATTTTTATTTGGCAAGTGCAGCTTCTATTATTAAATTCTCTATTTAAATTATTGAACACATTATGCTCAGGATTTCTCAGCTGGGCTCGGGAGATTCAATGACGTCTCTCAATAGAAACTTGTAGAACAGAAGCTGGTGAACTGCAGCTGTTCATTCAGTCTGTGCGTTTCTCTTGGGCTTCTCTGTTCACCCATCTCCGTCTCATGCTCACGATGCAGGGCAGTGAGGCTCAGGCTACCAAATCAGTGAGAAACAGCCTTCTTTCCTTAATTATTCATGATGCTTCATTGTAAATGTAAATAACAACATCGTCATTACATAGTGTTTTCCTGGGCACAGTCTGTGTTGCTCCTCTGCCATGATTTTCTACTTCATCCTGAGGTTCATATAAAGGGAAGTAAGAAAGTCAAAGGGACTTCACCATTTTTCTCTATAATTATCATGACTTCAGACTTTTTATTTCTCATTTCAACATTCCCAGAAAGCAAAATCGACAGTTGTTTGTGGGCAAATTAAAACTAATAGAATTCTGCATGTCAACAATGTGAAAGAAGGGGAGTGGCTTCTGCTGACAAGAGGACCAAGTGTCAGTTGGCAGAATTGACTGCAGCCACACAGGGCCCTGGTGCTGTGGCAGAGGGAGGGGGAAGCCAGCCCTGAGCTCCTCCAAGGCAGGGGTGGGCTGCCTCTGCCAGAGGCTCAAACAGGAGGACCTTCTGGGTCAGGGACCAGCCACGTCCTTTCCTGTCATTTCATCCACATGCGATCAGCTCTGAGGACAGAAGGGAAGACTCACAGCCACCAGCTCTCAACAGCCTGAGACCTCGACCCCCACTGCTGGACCAGGAACCCTCCGTGGCTGCATCGTGGACATTAACCGTGGTCTGGGTGCTCGATGTAGTTAATAAATCCACTCAGCTACGGAGAAGATGGCCTTGAGAAATCTGGACTTGAGAGCAATGGAATTGGATGCTCCTAAAAGAGTGTGCTCTTAATTTAAATAATTATATTGCTATTTTACAGTAAATGATAAAATTTTATTGCATTCTCACTATGGTCTAACTACTGTTCTAAGAGCTTTGAAATGGCTCATTGAACCTTCTCAATGTCCCTATTTCCAAGAAACTTTTTATACCACTATCATGCAGTATCAATCTGGAGCGATGAATTATTTGGAAGGTACCACGAATCCAAGGTCAAACGCTTAAGGAGCTTGAGATAACCGTTTGTCTGGAAGGGCCCGTTTACAGATGACAAGGATAGTAAAGGACATGGGATTTATGCACCAAGGAGAGGCTGCAGCATGAGAGCACTGAGCAGGTTGGGTGGGGTGATAACGGATTCCAAGTTCTACTTCATGTCCCAGTGGATTGCTGTCTGTTGTTCTGTATGACATCACCAGTGTGGTTCGAGTCTATAAAACTGACTGACATTAAGTTCTAAGGAAAAGTAGACAACAATCTTTTTAGATAGTTTTTATATAGTTGACTTTTCTGACAATTGAAACAAGTTTGTCGCTGGCACTGGAGTAACCGTGGTGCCTCCAATTCCCAGTAGGCTGCTGTGGGGGGGTTCCCTGTGCTGGGGACACTGCTGTTGGCCACGTCTCTGTGGGAGAGCTCTGCTCTCAGCATCCACTTCCATCTTCTCCCTCTGAACCAGAAGGATCTGCAGAAACAGGTGCCTCAGTTCGAGCCCTTCCCAGTGTTCCCCTCCTGAGGACCTGCCTGTTCCAGTCCAGGCTTTACCTGTCTCTGTTCTGCCCAGTTCTCCAGCCCCTGCTGACTTTCATCTCCTTCCTGTTCCTAGATGTGCTCTGTCTCCTGTTCCATGTTCACCAACCAGATCAGAGGCTACTTCTCAACTCTTTGCACTCAGTGCATCACCCAGATCGGTTCAGACCAGCTGCTGGGAGCATAAGTGATAGTGCCCAGTACATTCCTGTCCTTGAAAACACCCCCTGTGATCTACCCTAATTTCTCTCTGGACAACTGGGTAGAATAGAATCAAGTTCCCAGAAAAATTTGGTGGCACACGTTGAGTTGGCCAAGTTTCCAAATAGAAGGTGCCCATGACCTACAATCCTTGTTTCCACATGAGCCAAGCTTAAGAGTCCTCTGATCAGAAATGCTTGCATTGTGCTCTTCCACAAACACAAAATAAAGTTCTATAACGATCCAGGTCTGGATAGTTTTCTGTTGATCAGTTACAAGAGCCAGCGTGAACCTAACTGGCCAATATCTTTAATCAAACATTATCCGGAAGAACCTTTCCATTAAAAAAAAATTGAGGACCACATCAGGGAGGGTTTGTGCGTGATGCCTGGGTGCCCGCCAACTGAGGAGATGCATGAGGACGGGCTTCCTCTCATGGGGTCGGGCATTGACCTGACCAAGGTGCCAGCTATTCAACAGAAAAGAGCGGTGGCATTTCTAACCCAGTTTGTGGTGCACACTGTGCAGTTCCTAGGCCGCTTCTCCACAGTCTGTGAGGAGAAGCTGCAGACCTTTCTCTTCGTATCCAGCGAATGGAAACAACTCCCAATATTTTAGATGCAATTTGTCACCTATCCCAGGCCTAGATGATGTCACAGTTGAAGTCTCCCCTGTAAGTGTCACTGGAGTCACAAATGTAACCACTTCAGAGCCATCACAGCAGAACAGTTTACAAGAATCTGGACCACTGGAAAGTGAAGTAACAGCACAAAATATCTTAACTAGCCAAGGATCCGAGAGATGCCAGATATCTCAGAATGGTTCCAGTGGGTGTCCCAGTGATGGCAATAAGAAACAAAAGAATATCAGAAGGACTAGACCCAGATCTTCTTGAGAGGCCAGATGCTCCAGTGCCTGATAGCGAATGTGAAAAAAATGCAGAAGAAAGTTCAGATAGTGCATCCTCTTTTAGTGACTAAGATTAACTGTCATAATAATTACAGATAACATGTGTAGATGTACTTTACGTTCTATCAGAAAGAGAGTCTGAACTTGACCTCTTTTTCAAAAAAACATCAAGTGACCAGATATTCAAACCAAGCTTCGTCAGTGCTAAAATTGTAATAATAATGAAGCATTTATAACCTGGAAACAAATGGAATTTATAGTTTGGAAAGAGCAAATAGCCCCGATCCCCTCCACCACCACTGTCCCAAAAAATTAAACAGTAAAAAAAAATTATGTTATAAAATAGTTTATTTAAGAAAGATCATGTACCTTTCTCTAAACATCATTTTGTAAATTCCTGATGTACACTATATTTTTAAAATAACCGCTTGAGTTTGGTGTCAGGTATTTCTCAGCTGGTGCAGAAATGTGAGTGGAGATTGTTTTAGGGCTTAGCAAACAATGCAATTGAAGAGAGGGAGAGTCAGCATATAAATTCATTCTGAATTAGTTGCCTTTCCTTTGAGGATTGTTACATGATTCCAACGCGTATTGTAATTTCCACTCTAACGACCTCCCAGGCACAGGAGCTGTATTTCTTCTCCTTCAGGTAGCTATGGATTCTTTGGAAGTACTTCCGGACGAGAATTCCCACATTGGGACAAGCCCGGATTTCTCCTTCCCTCTGCTCCAGGTGCTCCAGGCTGTGATGAAGGCTGGACAGTAGTTGAGACAGGAGGGTGTGGTCCCATGCAGCCAGGCTGCTCTGTGCTCTGAAGAGGTTGAAGATCTGCAGGAGCATCAGATGGTGGAAACAGGTGTATTGTATCTTCTTCATTTGCATGATTGTTTCTAAATTCCAAGGGAATTTGAAGTCGTTTCTGTCAGCCAGGCATAAGTGAGGGGGCGTCCTTTGTAGTTGTGACAAAAGAATTAAGACTCTCCCTTTGTCTCGTGTATGGACCCAATGTATGTCCTCCTCTAGAGAACCAGCAGGGATGGAGCAGAGCATCACCCCTGCCAGCAGCCACAGAGAGATCTGGGCCATTGCGAGTTCCAGTGATTCAGGGGACGACCGCCAGGGGGAGGCGCGGGCACAATTAGCAGCCGCTTTCCTTCCTGGGATTCCTGGAAAGCGCGCTTCTCCCGGTGGCCGCCAGAGGGCGCGCAGGAGGTCTTAAGTGAAGCAGCTTTTGGGGAAAGTGCAGTCAGGCTGGTCTGAGAGAGGAAGCACTGGCCGGCCCCACAGAGCGCCTGGTGCTGCTTTAATAGTGAAGGTGAAACCCTCCATTCCTGCGCCGCAGCCGCCACTGAAGAAGGAGCTCTGCCTGCGCCTCCCGAGCACATTGTTCTCAGGAAACTAGCACCGGCCCGGGCCTTCTCCTCGCTTCCCCAGGAGTGTGGGGCTTTCCTTTTGCACCGAAGCTCCAGCGAGGCCATTTTCACCGGGAATCCGTGTGCTGGGGGGTCAGAGGCTGGAAGGAGAGCGTGTTGGGGGGTTTGCACAGAATCGGGGCGCTTTGTGCGCGAGGTGCCCTCAGACTCAGAGCAGGACACGGGAAGGACTGGCGCGACTGCTCCGCGCTGGGGACGCTGTGGGGTGAGTGGGGCGCCCGGCCCAGGAGGGGCGGCTCTGCAGGGGCTTTGGGGCTTTTGTGTGATGTCTCTACATGAGAACCTTAGGGAGCCATGGGGTAAAGTTAGAAACACTGGAAAGTGGGAGCATTGACACGGCTCTTCCTGAAGCTACTCAAAATATTATTAAAGTACTTTAATATTAAATATAAATATGAAGCTTAATGTTTAAGAAATATTTTATATTCAAGCATCACTTTAACTTTTAAAATAGTTTAGTATGAAATAAATATCGCTGTAAATTTTAAATATATTTTAAACGTGGAAACTTAACACATTCTCTTAAACTTTAAAAAATATTTAAATATTGATTTAAATATCCACATAATATATAAAATATTTTAATCTTAAGACATCATCTATTAGGATTTTTAAAATACTCATATATTGAATATTAGCTGAAAATTTTAAATGTTTTAATTTTTACCACTCAAAGTATAAAAAATTCCATGTATGAATGAAACCTCCAGTTTATTTCAACAGTATTTTATTGTACCAAAACAAGGATTTAATATAATTTTACTGTCTTGGCTGGAATGGAAGCAAACACTGTTTAGTATTGTCAGGATGACTTGTGTTCAGCCTGGCCTGCCTGCCTCAGCACTGGAGCTTCTGCCTATGAAACCAGGAAGTCCTGGTTTCATTTCTGGTCTGGGCACAGGTCCTGGTTGCAAGCTACATCCCGGGTGGGGCTTGCAGGAGGCAGCAGATCAATGATTCTCTCTCATCATGGATGTTTCTATCTGTCTCTCCCTTTACCTTCCATTCAGAAATCAATAAAAGTATTTTATTTAAGACATTATTTTTCATAAAAGGGATTACTTGTTTTTGTTGAGTTTCTTGTAACCATGTGACAATGGTGAATCCTTTTTCTTTAATTTCAATTTCCTGAAATGTCCTCACAGGTTTGCACCTTGAATGAATCGTTAAAAGGAAAACTTGGTGCTGTGTACAGGCTGCAGAGAACAGTTAGCAGGTCAGATCTTTTCCTTTTCTTTGGTTAGAATTTTGTAGACTGAATGGAACTTGCTAAAATTATATTTGCACCGTTTCCCCTCCCTTCTTAAGCCTCTGAGGGACTTGCAAGTGGAAGGCCATTTCATGTCTCTAAAATGTTGACATTTTGTTCACCATGGATGTGCTGCATTAATTCATTTTTTCGTATTGCCTGGAAGTGTTTTGGATCTTGATGGCTCAGATGTGAGTCCTTCTTAAACTCTGTGCTTGAGGGAAGTACTCTCCCTTCTGCTAACCCAGGAAAGAGCTTTTGAATGAGTGTTGTGATCTTCAAGGGCTGAAAACCTAGGTAAGTCCCAATTCTTACCAGCATCACCCTCTGCCTCTTGCTTGCCTGTTTGTTTATGTTCTCCTGAGCCTCAAATAACACC